TAAAACGCAACGCCAGGGTGAGGTCTCTATTGGATCGGATCGGATTGGATTGGACGGGACGGGACTGGACTATGGGCCATAATAAGTAATGGGAAAAGTGTGGGCAACAAAGTATATAGCCAAGGTACTTATTTAAGCTGATTTTAGCTTTTTCTGGGTAAAAAATAATTCCTTTATGAGTACATTTTCTAATTTGTTGAGAAGTTTTACGAGGAAACTCTACTTTTATTAGCACAGATAGCATCCTATCTGATAAAGAAAATATTTTGATAATCCAATCCCCCTGATAACCAGAATTCTAGCTGCAGGGACTGGTTGTTGTTTTAAAGGCTTTGCGATAAAGATCAGCTCTTGAACTCAGCCACAACATATGTAACTTCTCAGGATTTCCACGGCAACTTTCCGCTTAGGGCTTCTTCTGGACGGAGTTTCCTTGACGCACTGCGCAGTTTCCTTGGGTTTTTCACCCTCCTTTGATTGAATTCAAAGCTGGATTACAAAGGGGGTAGGGGGAAAGCGATGGGAGATTCTGTACTGGAGGAGGGTTGCTTCGAAAAGAAAGACAATCGCAGTTTTTCCTTATTGCGTCGCAGCTGAAACTTCGAATAGCCATTTTCCCAAAGGGAGTACCATTTGGGTGGAAAACTGCAAGCTCTGCCGGTTAGTACAGTCATTCCTGGCACGGTGCGTCCCTGTGCTCGCTTCCTTCCTTCCTGCTGCTTCCTGCCTGCCCTTACACCCCGCCTCCTTTTTACTCTGCCACTTCCTTGCGCGTCCTGCGCAGCATAAATTACGCAATTCACTTTGGCGTCCTTTTTCCATACCCATTGTTCCTAGGGTAGAAGGGGTATGCTGGAGTCTAGTAAGTTACCTCTTAGGTTAGTTGGTTATCACTTTTATTTTTATCTTTTATCTTAACTCCGGGCAGAAATAGATTTCTATGATATTAAACTTAAGCAGCAAAAGTACATTCATACATTCATATCCCCATACATTCACATAGTCTAGTAACCCACTCAGTAACTCCTTTTTTTGCTGCCTTTCCTTGCCTCTGTTTGTTTGCAGCAACGCAGTTTGCGTTGTTGCTTATGATTTATGTGCCGCGCGTAGCGATGACACACACACACGCGCGTCGAAAAGGACACTGCTGCAGTTGAAAAGCACCCCATACCACATACCCCATGCCACATACATTTTCCTTAACTACCTCCTCCAGAATTTTCAAGAATTACACGCAAATTGCACGCAACACGCGAATCGGGCGAAGTGGTCGCGTATGGAAATGACGCGGGAATGCCACTCATGCGTTCCGTTTCGTGCGCCTGCATGTGCGATAGTTCTGTCACAGGCCCCGTATCCGGCACTCGGAACCCGTAGAGTCCGTTGTACGGAGAATGGAGCCCGGGGTCCGGCTTGCCACATCCTTGCCCAACCTCCTCCTTACCCCCTGTTAAAATCCGTGGCATTAAGTCATGCGTCATCCTTGGCAGGGACATGCGTGTAAGCCGGTTATCGCCCGAAAAGCCTGCCAGCAGCAGGAGCAGCGGCAGCAGCAGGACACTTTAAATATCTTTATGCATACCATAAATATGTTCTTAAATGCTAATCCTTAAATGTGGCCCACCAAGAGCCTTTCCCCACGTTCTAAAATGCGTCACAGGTCCCAGGATATGAGTCAGCCTAGAATGCTAGGAAATTCTAGAATATGTTGCGGTTGCGGTTAAGGGAAGGGAAAGTAGATCAATCACTCGAATTGGTCAACTTTTCAGGACTCTTGAAATATTTTAAAGCACTAAAAGAAAGTTCTGGAAACTCAAATAGTAGGTAATAAGCTATGGGAGAAGGCCTTTTTCTTAGTGTAACACTTGAACCGTTCTTTTTGTAATGAGAATCAGGGGCCCTTGTAAAACCAAACCTGTTAGCTGATTGGTAGTCATTTGTTAAAGCCCAATTCGCGTTAAAATGCTTTGCTTGTTTTCTTGATTGACGGAAATTGGGGGAAAAACCAGTTTGTTATCCATGAGAAAACGCCATTATTGGCTTTACAAGGTGGCATTGACTTTTCTTGATTAGTTCACAAGATCTAAAAGTTAACATTCATTTTAGAATTTAAGAGATTAATAAAAAACCAATCCCTTACTTAAAGTACCTTTAAAGTTAAGCCCATGGCCCTGCTGACCTCAGCATCAGCTGGTTGAAAATTGTAATATTTTATTTTCTCATTTTTTATGGCTCAGTTTTGCTCTTCCTCGTTTTTTTTTTCATGCCTTTTGCCTGGCATTGTTTTGACAACTTTATGGCCGGGGGGAATGGGGCGGTAGGCGAAAACATTTAATATATGGCATCGAGCGTAGCCGCAACTCACTTTTTAATCACTTTTCATGAGCTTTTAATTACACACTTCTTGTTTGGGTTGTGTCGGAATGAAATTTATGAAAAACCAAACGCATAAAATGCTTAACAAGGTCCTGCTGCCCCAAACCGCAGGATATACATACATACAGTGTGTGTGCAAAAATAAAATGGTAGAGAAAAAAGAAAGCGTTTACATGTGTGTGGGTAGAAATGAAAATAAAAATATCCCCACTCATTTCCGTTATAATAATGTGTGAAAGGATATTAATTATGAAACAAGCGAACGGCAGGAAGCCCGGGCAATAAAAACAGCAAGCGACAGGAACACCATGCGTGACCAACAATAACAACTAAGGGAACATCACCAGCGACAACAACAACAACAGCAATATATATGGCGACTCCGGTATATTGTATTTTATGAGTGTCGGGTATGGGTACACTGGGAGAATATTTGTAATATTTATTGATATTAATGGCCATCAATTACGAAGGCATTTCTGCGAAAAATGGCAATTTAAAAATCTTGCTGGGCTGAAAAATGGATTTAAATTCCTCAATTTCTCAGAATTTCTGCTTAATTTAAAGCTTTTTAATAAGTTTATTCTATTTCTAATACCATTTTCACTTTTCTCCGTGCAGAGTGGGCGTTAATGGTGGCTTAGATGAGGTGAGTTGTGCCGAATTGTGTTGAGTTGGGCGGAGCGGAAACGGGAGCAACATGTGCAACATGTCGAACGGAAGTGTCGGCCATATTCCACACACAGAGTCACACACACACACACACCACCGACTAAATAGGCCCACGTCGCACACACACAAATTATGTGTCCTGGCCAAGTAGATTTTTATGTAATGTCGGTCGGTTATTGCTTTCATACATTTATTTTATTTCATTTACCCAAACCACTCATAGATGGCGCCCACGCGGGAAAAGGGATTTGGTATTTTGGAAACTCCACGTTTCCATATACTCTATTATGTACTTAAATAGTTAAAAAATTTATAAAAAATATATGTAAACTTAAAATATCTGTTGATCTAAAACTCCACCTCAACCTTAATTAACTTATATAATGTATAAAAACTCCTCTTAAAAAAATAAGAACATCTCGCTGTCGTCATTTCAGTTATTAAGTTGAGTAATTTTTAGCCCTGCACTTCATGTCCTGTCATCGAAGTCAGTCAACCGGCCGGTGGACCATTCAGCCAGACATTCAGACATTCAGCCAGTCTGCCAATGACAGGACCCTCTGCGGCGGCAACTGTCGTCCATCAGAGTCGTGCGTCAGTTGATCACGTTGCCGTTCCACGTGACGATGACAGGAATGCCGGAATGTCAGTAGCGTCAGTCTGCCCGACCGACGAAGGGCCACACCAGCTTCCTCCCTCCCTTTGAAGCTCCAATGCCAACCCGCCCACGGGCATGTTCTGCGGCTCCTGCGTGTAATTGCCGTTGTAATGTCGCTCGACGCGAATATAATTGCTAAAATGTTGCATAAACCGACAGACGTGCCAATGGCCAATGGCCAATGCCCAGGACGATTCTCTGACTCTGCTACTGACTATGTCTCCTTCCCCCCTGACTCGGGCTTAGGGTAAGAGACACAGGTCGACGCGACGACACTTTTCCATTTGAATTTAATTTTAATTTACGCCCAACGGCCGGCACTGCTGCTCCTGATGCCCATTGCCATTTTCCGGAAATTGGCAACGGCAATGGCCAGAACATTCCGCATTCCGGACGTGTCTCCTGGCTTCTGGCGTGGTACTTGTATATGCACAGAGAGAAAATGCTTAATATATGAAAATTTATATGAAAATTGAAGTTCAAGTTCATCGTTTTTTGCCTAAAAACTTCTTAAGAGTTAAAAAATTCTGATAAATATTCTGATCTCTATACGATTGTAATACATACACTAATTTTTTTCAGTGTACAAATAAACCCAACAGTGGCAATGCGGTTCTGGCCACGATTCTGATCAAATTCGAGAGGGCTGTCCGCACCGTTGAGTTAATGAGAAGAGACAGAGTCGAGAGGAGAGAAACGAAGAGAATAAAGGATAGATAGATGGTTAGGAAAAGGGGAGAAACCCGTCGACAGACATTTTATGTGCAACCGGCCAAATTGTTAGAGGAACAGCCAGTCTAATTGAAGCGGCCTCAAGCAATTAGTCTATAAATTGAAGTAACAAAAGTGTCAGAGTAGAGGAAAGATATAGATTTTATATAATGTGGGCTGAAAATAATAAATTTTCATATATAAAATAGTAAGAAAAACAATGGAAAACTACAATCTACAAAGACGTCATCAAAATTTGTCTAAATTAAGATTAATTTACACCAAATATGTTTAAGATGAGCCCCAAAAATAATAAAACGTTTTAAAAACAACCAAAAAGCAAGTCTAAAAATGAACCATAACTTAGCTAATGAAAAACTTTTCCCATATTAATTAGTAACCCGAATTCCAAATCTATTCAGAAGCTCCGAAATTTCCATCCTCGGTGAATCAATGTGGGTTTTTCTCTGCTCTGCTTTTTCATGTTGCCCCTTTAGTCATCGCCAGCCATTATGTCTGGGCCTATGAGTAATTTTCCGCTGGCAAAAATCGTGCCTCGAAGGGCCTACTCATTAACTGCAGACGGGGAATTAACAGCTTTATAGTATAAAAAAAATAATAAAGAAATAAAGATAATGCATGAGAAAGATGACGCCAGAAGGGGCAGAACTGGAAATCGACGGATTTAATATGAAAAAAAAAATAACAATTTTCCAAATTTGGCAAAACTATTAACCACGCTACGTTAATTTCATTAGCAAGTCTGTCTTTCTTGTTTCGGTGACCGTGTTTTATCCAGATATCTATATATATATATACAGCCATTAAATGCGCTAATTAGTTGGTCAATTAGCGTATGCTTACCGGATTGTTTTTGGCTTTTTGTTTGTTGGCCCAAAAGTGTATGGGGCGGTGGGTTGAAAATTCGAGTCTGAACGTCAGCGGTTCGATCGGCCAACTGTCGCCACATTAATAAATCAGTTTAAATTAATTCAGTTGACAGCTTTTAGTCAATATTGTTGATAAATTGTTTTCTTTTAATTTCGGTTTTTTGGTTTTCGGTCTTTCGGTTTTCGGCTTTCCTGCAGCTGTTGCCAAGGGGGAAAGGAACATTTAACTGGTCATTAACAGCATTTGATTTTTCGTTAATTATCTCATTTTGGGGCCATAATTTCTGTGGACATTGACTGGAGGGCAGGTTTTTATATAAAAAAATGAATCAAGAAGTTTATTGTTTTAATAAATCATAAGGCAGATGAACCAAGATGTGTTTATAGCGGCTGAAAAATAAATATATTTTTTAATAGTTTTAAGCAGGATTCGTTTTTATTGAAGAGGATATAGGATACTTTGTATCTTTATCCCGCTTTATAATGAAAAAAACACATTAACATATTCATCCCAAAGAACCAATCTAGTTACCCTCACTGCTTCTGGTCTCGCTGAGGATATCGCTCCAGGACATGCTGTACGAGTCCTGCTCATCCATGCAGCCATTCTGAGCCCTCTCCGACTCGGCATTCTCGAACTCGGCCAGCTTTTGAAGACGTACCTCCATGCGGCGTTCAAGTTCCTCCATACTACTTGGCTGCCGGGTGATGGGCGATTCTCTTCCGTAATAGGATGACTCACTGCCTGGAAAGACAGGCGACTCTTGATCACTGAGTGGCAAATCAATGGCCTCAAAATCACTGACACTAGCTGAATAGTGTTCGGAGTTTGCAACACATTCGCTGCTTGAATATTTTCCCAAATTTGAATCACCAGCTCCCAGCTTTTGAGGTGTTGCATGATTCTGGCTGATCTTTATCATGAGGCAACGACCACGGCACTTGGGTTTATCCAGCTGAAGCAGACGAATCAGCTCATCCCGGGAATCCACCTCTACATAGGCAAAGCCCTTGGGTCGTTTACCCTTCTTGGGTATGGTTAAAGAACAGACCGAAAAGTTGGTAAAAACTTTCTGCAATTCCCTTTCAGTGCACTCCATGGGCAAGTTGCTGACCAGTGCCACGTATGGTGGTTCCATAGGCACTTCCTTTTGCAGATCCGGTGTACTAGTCTTAATCTCCAAATCTGAATTTGATTTCTTGCTACCATCGTTGTAAAAGTAAAGGTCAGCGTCGTCTGGCTCTGAGGTCTGCACCTGTGTTACGTGCAACATGTCCTCCAAACTTTGTCCTGAACCGCTGGCGGAAATGGAGCATAAGGACGAAGAGCCCACTGGATACAACTTGTTAATCCTTGATGTCTTGGACATGTTTGCCAAGGAAAAATAATAATTTTTGAAATAATGAGTGTCTTACTCTGTTTATTTTGTTTGAAAACTGTTCAAGTTTTTCGAAGTTAAAATCGAAGGCGTCTTTAGTCTACTTTAGCAGAAAAAATATGAAAAACTCGATGATTAGTTTAGTTATTTCCATCCCTTAGGCACACTTAACCTTATGATTATCTAAAAATATAATTAATTGATTATTTAGTTGCCACTCCCGCCAAATACAAACAGTAAGTAAGATCTTTAGCCCGTAGATAGGTTATCTATTAGTATCTTTCCAGCCACGTTAACTCATAATTCATGTTAACAGACCAGCTAAAGTGCTAGATTAAATATTCCCAGGCCCCGATCTCCTTCAGTGCAGCACCTGCCCCTTACATTCAGATATATATATATATATATATACGAGTATATCGACCATCGACCAGACAAATGCCAAGGTTCGCGGATCCCAACTGACAAGTCTCGTAGTTTGGTTGGAAAATATCAAAAGTTCAGCAAACAAATGGCATAGAGTTGTGTTCGAGTTTGGGTTTGAGTTTGGCTAATGCACGGATTGTGTCGTTTTCTGTTTGTTGTTTGCTGTTTGTTAGTTTTGGCCGCTTGTTGTTGTTGGGTTGGGCTAGGAGGAGGAGGTTTCCACATTAGGCAACTGGCAACGGGCTACACCCATATTCCGTGGAAAATTGGGTGCGTTAGCCAAACACAAACTAAGGTAAACTGATAAAAATCATGGCCTGGAGCATAAGTGCCAGTACGAGTGGAGTTTGGGGCCAAGTAAGCTAGGCCAGGGGGCCTCTAAGCCAAACACACACTCATACATAGCCGTAGTACGTGTCTGGGACCGGGCATTAGGAACGGACAGGCTAAAATATTAGGCCAATTATATTTCAAAAATTTACATGACGATGAAGTTGACGATGGCTGTGTCATCCATAACCCAAAACCATAGACAGTGCTTCAGTGAAAGAAAAAGTTGTGTTTAGAAAATATGATTACAGCTTAGAAGGGAATGCCTAAGAAACTTTGATAGTCTTTGATTAATAATCTTGAGATTCTTTACCAGAAAGTAATAATCAAATCAAATTTCTATCCTAAAGTATCTCCTCATCTCTCTCATATATTCTTTTTCCAGTGCAAGTACAGTGTGTACACGAAGGAAGCGTCAAGTGGCCTCCGCCTCCGCCTTTTTTTTCCAGCGATATCTTGATGCTCTCGCCGTGGAACGTGCACTGGCATAAGCACTGGTGGTGGTGTCTGGAGAGCTACTCTCGTATCTGGGCACTAGAATCGCCTTTGGCTACACGGAATTTTCTTTTCTTTTCGCCTCATAGTTTTCATAGGAACCACAGACTGAATGAATTGTGTGGCAAAGGTGCAGCGAAGGTAATTAATTTCGAGGATTAGGTATTAGATTTTGGCGATAGCAACGTGTCTCCATAATTCTCATATCGAGGGGCAGGACAAACACGTCCACAACAGACCCTATCTATCAGTTGGCCCATCTTGATGTTAGTTTATTCGATGTCTTCTTTGTGGGTCACCAAAGGGCAGACACATGGAAATTAATAATTAGTTAGGGGCATGAGTTGTATTATGTGTAAATAGGAACTTGGTTTTGGGTTATAGGTAATACCAGGAAGAGGGAAAAGTAATCCCACCTAAGATCTATGTAAGACATTGACAAGATTCAGAATACCAATCCTTGATGACTTAACTCTTTGGACTTACACCTAAAACTTTCAAGTCAACTAAAATACATATTAAAACCTACAACTACCATTAACATCAATCAACATCACGTAACTAAACTACACCCTACATTCCCAAAGTGCTAATTAAAACACCTCGCTGCCTGCCTGCAAGCCCATAAAATGCCTAATTTCCTCCGAACAAAATTTTATAATTTCTTGATTGTATTCGGTAATTGATACCATTGGAATAAACGGGAAATATTAAAACCAACAAACCACTAATTATAATACCTAATCAGCGTTTTCTTTCACCTCTATTTAGTTATTTTTAGGGAGCAGGGAGGGGGAAACTACCCCCCAAAAACCAAAATCATTTGATTTTGATGTCGATCCAAAAGCTAAAACCAAAAACCAATGCTAAGCACATACAGCCCCAAAAGTGTTCCACATGACAGCGTGAATAATTTGTCACCAATTGAGGGAAATTCGTAGAAGAAGAGGAAGAAGAAGGGGCGAAGGGGCGGAGGGGCGGTTACCAAAATGAAAACCGTCATCAGGTAAATGCAATTAGCCCCCGACTCAGCTTTTGATTGATGTATTTCGAATGAGCTGCGCCAGGAAAATTAATTAGCTTTAAATTATGTAGGTAGACCGAAAATCTGGAGAGCTGGCGCTGTTTTTGGAAAACCCCCTCCCCCAAAGTCCCAATTCTATTCCAAACTTGAGCCACCTTATTAATTAATCAATTGGCTTTGGCAAATTGTCTCGATTGTAGCAATTATCGTGATTTGGTTAAATGCAGCTTATGGTCAACTGGAAAATGTCCATTAAGCAGCTCAACAATGTGGCTAACTAAATGTTAATGTTTCCCTTCGGAATGATCAGGTGTCTATTAGTAGTATTGATTTTGTTACAAAGGGGTTTGTTAGATTGTTTATTTTGTTACAACAAGTTTAGTAATTAGTAAAACATAGAACATACTCTGCTATAAAGGTGATTTTAACTAATAACAACCACTAAGTCTTTACTTTAAAAACTCTGCAGAACAGACTTACTTTATACAGTAGTTAATAAAACATTAGTCTCTACAAATCTATAACTACGAATGGTAAACAAAAACAAAGTAATTTTATATAGATTTAGCTGATCCTGATATAAAGTTAAGCATAATTAGGGCTATAATAGGCCTATATCTGAATTGAATCTAATTACTTTATAAGAGCTGTATACTAATAAACCCTTTGTTAACTTTGTTTCAGTTTCACTCTACTTTTGACCACATCATAGTTCATGTTCATAGTTAAAATAGCAATATATTTGATTAGGTTTTGCGTTTTTCTGTAAGTTGTGATACCAAGTGACGTGATTCTGCCTAAAAGATGTCCTTGAGTCGTCTACTTTTATGCCTTTTAATCCTATACTCAGTGGAAAGAGTAAGTTATTAGAATATAACATAGATTCCATGTATAATCCCAACTTAATAGATCGTCTCCCTGGTCGAGTTTACCAACATCCAATGCACTTCCTTGGGTGAAGATTTCGCTGACTTTGAGTACTGCGTCCTGAAATCCGTTAATCGAAGTTTTAAATACATATCACTCAAAGTCAAGTTATTTAAGCTTCCCATAACCAAAATTAAGGTAATCTATCACAGCTTTTCAATTAGATAAATACTACTTTGATACATTTACAGGTAAACTTTGCCTTGCTCAAGAGATACAGTGGTTATAAGCCTTTTCTGTACAACATAACCGTGGATGCCTGCAAAGTTATAAAGAATCCGAAATACAACCCAGTTATGGACTTCTTTTACAGCTGTTTCAAGGATTTCTCCAACATGAATCACACCTGTCCTTTTGATGTAAGTTTAATATAATTAATTAACTTTTAACTTTTCTTTTTAACTATTTAATATCTTAATTTTGCAGCATGATATTATTTTGGAAAAACTTCCCATAGCTTATGTTAACACAAAATTCACAGCTGTTTTGCCTTTTCCCGTTGGCGATTATCTTTTCCAAACTAGTTGGATAGCATACGATGTCAACCGGGCTAATGTCAATGTTTATTTCACTCTTTCTTAAGAAACTTTTGGCTATTTTGAAAGTCAATCTAAAGGAATTTGAATTCATAATAAAAACTTCCTACTATCCTATCTAAACTGTGTTTCTATTTCAATCCAAGGCAACCTTTTCTGTGTATCCCTTAATAGTGAAAGCAGATTTAATGCCATTTTCATGCACTTATCATTGGTAATTTATTTTGCTAGATATTTGAAAAAGTGCAAATATAGGCCATTAAATCGATTTGCATTTCTTATAATTCTGCCTTTCCACAATTCTGACACCCCAGTAATATAATCTTTATGGTCATCTCATTTGTGACCGAATTATTGCATAGATGACTTCACCCGGTATCAAAAATCTGAGGAATCAGTTGCCGCCCCCAACCAAAAAACTTGACAAATGCACGGCTTGAGCAGGCTGGAAATGTGGAAATTTATCAATCGGAGGAGGGTTTTCCTTTGCAGCATATCCGGTCCGAAACGAAACGGGGAATACCGGGAAATAATATGACTTTGGCCACGGTTATCAATAACCAGGCATCGATATTTTATGAAAATTGATACGCCACACAAACGCACAGCGGGTGGAAGGAAAATAAAAATAAATAATAATACCCATTATTACAGTTTATCCCCATGGCGAATAGTTTCGCTCACTCTGTCTCTGTTGGGCTAGCAAGAGTCCTTCGAGTCCTTGGCGTCCTTTTTGGGCGATGCCACTCATAAGCGAACTAATCCGTCAAAATTTATTGCCCACCACCAACATCGAGGGGAGTCACTGTCTCGAGCCAATTGATAACGTGCGTGTGAAATTTATCAAATAAATTGAGGCCATAAATGTCATAGCAACGCATGATTCATATATCCAGAGAGTTTTCCCCAATCTCCTTATTAGCCAGCTTCCGTTTGGCCAAAAAAGGAGTCAAGAATTGCGAGAGGGTCCAGTCAGAAGTCAATCCCACATTGGATTAGCTGACAAATTTCGGTAATTTTCTGTTTTCTGGCAAATTTATTAAAGTCTCATTATGTGGTAAGCTCGGAATTATGATTGGCCTCGTTATTTATTCATTAGATTCCAGGGCAATCGATCATGTTTTCAGTTCATTACAGTTCTTAATTGGATTTATTTGCATGATGATGATGATTTTTCATAAGTTTAACTAACGATTTTTCTTCTATTTAAGGGGCTCCTTTGACTTTTATGGTTAACTTTGCATTTCCTAGCCAGTAACAAGTCAATCACTAAATTGCCAGGTAACAAAAATCTCTGCAATGCCCAACAGTGAAACTGTTTTATGCCTTTGCAGACATTTATTAAAAACCCATCAAACGTTAAGCCCCCAAATTACGATTTGCATTCAGCATTCAGCTGGCGAAATTTCACCCACTTCCTTTCCCACCTCCAAAACCCAGTCCGATTTCCATTCCGATTCCCACTCCCACCATTACGCGGCGTAATCAGAAAGCGTAGAGAGAACCGGAGCTTGGATCTGGGTTTTGGGTTTGGGATTCGGATTGGGATTGGGCTTGGGCTCCATAGTTGGAGTTTGAGTCTCTGAGTTCGAGTTCGAGTTCCAGTTCAGTTCCGCGTGGCCATCATTATTCAGAATTTAGTTTACTTTTTTGCAGCTCTACCGTTGTGTTGTTTTTTTTTTTACCCTTTTTTGGCCTCTCTGTCTCTCTGTTTGGCTCTGATTGCATATGAAAGAGGTGAACGCTTTTTCACGCTATTATTAAATTTGGTTATTTCGCTGGGATTTGGCGCGGGCGAGGTGAAGGCCCCGCGAGTCGGGTAATGACAATGCATGATGGCACGCCCTGATGGAATAGCAATTGGATGAGGGAAGCACTGGGAGAAAAGGTCTCTGGGCTTGTCAAAATAAATACGAAATATTGCTTATTTGCTGGAAACTCCTAACTAAAACGGGTTATTTCGATATTTAAAGAGATTTTCCTTATGAAACTTAGAATTAGAACTTAGTCTGTGAAAACTATACATTAATAAACTTCTATTGTCTCTATATACGTATTTCTGTACATTCAAAGAAAGTTCCTAATAGAAACCCCAAAAACAACGTCAATAATTCAGAGAAACTTTAAGTAACCGCCAGTATTGATTTCTTGTAATTTTCCCTCCTCAGGTCAACCCTCATAAAGCAGAGAAATGTATTCAACCTTTGTCTAGCAAGCTGCCCTTAGAATAATAGTATATGCCATCCTAATCCCAACTAATATCAGGCGGGGAGCATACACAGGCAATCGTTGTAAACTAAAAACCGCTTCCAACTTTGACATAATAAATAGCCCGGCAATGCGAAAAGGAGCGGTACGGAATGGGGCTCTTAATAAAAGTCAATTGGCAAACCCACACCACCCCCCGCGTCTTCTACAGTTCGTTGTGTCCTTCTCGACGGCCATTTGAAATTTTAATAAAAAGTCCTTTTATCGCACTTAGAAGGCCATTTAGTAAGCTAAATTATACCCGAGTATTATCCGGACCAAGAACCATCCTGGCTTCTGCCTCCTACCACACCATCCCCATCATGAAAATCTCAATCCCAATACCCGAAACCCGAAATCGTAGTCAAATTGGCCATGTTAAACCGCACAGCAGTTTTTGGCCCTTGCTGTTGTTGTTCTTGTTGACCCGACTTATCTCTTTTTGGCCGAAACGGAGCCGCACCGGCAACGTAAACTTGCCGCAAATTGGCCAACTTGCTGCTACCACTCCCGCTGCATAAGTCCAATTTATTTTTGGTTTTTTACTTCAAAGCGAAGACAAAAAGGCAGCAAAACCAAATCGAATTAAGCTTAAATCTACATAAGCTTTTTCTCTCTGTGTGCCGCCGGTAGAAGTGCGGACCAGTAGCTGGGCTTACAGTGGTACGAGGTTGAAAAACTCGGAAGTTTATATAGTGATTTGTAAGGGAAAAATATAACTTTCTAAAATTTGTGAAAATTCATAATACAATATAGAATTTAAATTTGTTATTACGAAACTTATATATTTTAAATAATGTAATATTTTTTAACTTTCTTAACTCATTACTTAACTTAGGTACTTTCTTTCATTTACAATTTTTGAGAAACTCAAACTTTGTTTTTTTTACTAATATTAAATATATCTCGACCCACTGTGCTTGAAGTTTCCTGATTGTTCCTCTGCCTTTCGGTCCATTTGCTGGCTCTGGTTGCTGTTGTTGTTGCTGTTGCTGGGGAATGAATTACATTTCTCTTTGCATTTAGCATTGTTGTTGTTGGCTGTTGCTGCTGTCGGTCGGTCGTTTCCATTTTTATTTCGGTTTTCCTCTTTTTTTTCTAAATGCTAATTTATGGGCATGTGTTGCCATTTGGTTGCCGTTGGGTAATTTTAGTGCCCACCAAAACACAGAACACAAAACACACAGCAACATTGCCACAGAAACAGAAACAGCAACAGCAACAGCAAAAGAAAACGAAACAGAAACAGAAACACAAAACCGAAACAGGAAATGCAGCAAGCGAAATAAAAAGTGAAGTAAATTGCATATTTATGAATCTGTCAATTGTTTATACTTTTATGCATTCGCCATTTGGGGGCTATTGTTGCTGTTGCCGTTGTTTTCACAGAATTTCCCAAGTTGTTCTTATTTGTCCGCTTGCTCGCTGATTGTTGCTACGTTGTGTGTTTGTTTCGTGTTTCATGTTGCTCTTGTTGCACAGCAATTATATTTTATGTTCTTTTTAAATTGAAAGGATTTTGCCATTTAAGTTATTTATGTATGTTTTAGTAGCAGAAGTTGTTATTATAGTTTACAAAATCTAAATTAGGCTTGGGAAATTTTAAGAACTTGTTTTGGGATATTTTGTCAAAGTGTGAGAACGTATTACGTAGAGGAATGACGTAGGTATAAATTACGTAAGCTTAATGATTACGTTTATTAATAAAGTTTTAAATAACTAACTTAGCTTATTAATCTTATAGATTAGTTACTTTGTTGATATAAAAAACGGTACTGTGATCTGATCAAAATTCTAATCAAATTGATGTGATTTTTGTTCACTTTTCCCTGCTAAACTGCTCCAAAATTTATTACTCAATCAGGAGTACGTAGTCTCTCAACATTTTCTGTCTGTGTTCTAGCACCACGCCCCTTTTTCTGCTTTTCCGCCCCTCATAACATATGATTCCATTACCATTTTGGTATTCGCATTTGAGTTCGTTCTGCTTGTCGGTTGTGTGGCTGTCGTTCTTGCATGAATTGCAACAGCAATTGCAACTGCCCCGCCTCCTTCAGCTGACCCCTGTACGTCCCCTCAACCTTCACCCCTGCCACCCTCCGCCACCCATCACTGACCGGCCGGCAGACAAAACAAACGCATTATAACGAAATGTTGGCAAAAAAAAAAACTAAAAAAAAAAAACAAAACAAAACAATACGAAAAAAAGCAAACAGGGAAAACAACGAAAACAAGAAGAGGAAAACTTACACCTATTTCCTGTAGATGTCCGTTCATGCGTACACTGTGAGAAATGCTCTATCGCCGGGCGGGTTTTCTCACAGCGGTAAGCTTCAAAGCTTGACATTTCCTTGGGTCATTTTAGATATTTCGTGGAAATCCGAAACAGAAAAACAGATGTAGTGGCTATCTGACATCATCTTGGCTTATTATTTCGTTGGTTAAATGGAAGTTGAACAAGGTCTATTTGAAAAGATCTAACACATTAAGGCAAACATCATACGAATCCGCCGGGAATTATATAAAAAAAAAAAACTACGTTTACATAGTGGAAGTACCTTAATGGTTTGAATATGGAAATTAAATGGAATCTACATTCTTCTAATGTTGATAGTAAAAAAAGATTAAATAACTCTTGGGTTTCCAGGCTGGAGTGGAGAGTTTCTTTAAAGAAAGTTATCTACAATTTAATAATACAAAAATAAAGTTGGTTTTTCTTTTAGTGCATGCAATAAACTTAAATCAATAAACAAAACAAAAGAAAAGAACTTCCATTGTCTGTACCCCGTTGCCCTTTGCCGGTTCGTTTAGGTTCTGTTTCCCATTTG